TTGACACCGAGGGACAAATTAATTTCCGAAAATAAAGTCGTGGGATTTGTCGTTTAAGTAAATCTTTAAAGGTGCATATCCATTTGTTGCGTACCCTCGTATCGTATCACCGTTGTGTATCAATGTGAACGGGGTCAAGCGTTGCGTCTGGTATCGTACGGTGATACGATACGACGATACGTAACAGTGATACGATACAATGGTACGCAACAAGTGGATACACAGCTTAAAACATTTCTAACCGTGAACAACTGGTACCAAACTATTTCTTTAGATGTCACTTGTAGCTATACATGACGAATAAATCCCTTCCACAATGTCCCAATAGCGGGCACTTCATTGAAAACACCTAGAGTTCCCAAACAGTCGCAAGATTCGCCCATGTTGGGCCCAACACTTCCCACCCATCCCGAATGTGTTAACCCTTTACGTCCCACCCGTGTGGCTAGCACATCAAGCAAAGACAATCTGCTCCAACTACCATCTGTACCGTCATTACCTCCTTTAATATACCTAAAAAAAAAAAAATCCCTGGAATAGACTAGGCGTCAAAAATGCCCGGAACGCAACGGTTTGAATCCAAAGAGCTTTCGTCGATACCAGATATTCGAATCACAACATCGAAACATGCCCACGGGATAATCGATCGATCGAAGATGTAAATCACACTATTCCCCCCGTAGGTCATCGCGAAGATGAGGACACTCTCGTGGTGTCCTCGTTCACGGTCCACGAGGCGTCGTCGTGGTCTCGCGCGCAGGTGGACGCCTGCTTTTGGACCACCATGTAGTAGCCGGCACGCAGGCGGGGGTCTTATAATATCGCGTCATACGAAACGATGAAATAGTGGCCGTAGCGAAGGAATGTTCCCTACCACTTGAGTCGTCGAGTTGAGTTGACTGGCGGTTGCGTGGCTCTCCTGGGCTCTCCCGGGCTCTCCCTGGTCTCCCTGCGCACTCCTGGCTCCGCTCTGCTCGGCACGACTGCTTTTAACCAGTGTGTGTATGTGTGTGTGTGTGTGTTTGTGTTCCTCTCTCGGACACACTCTAGCTCTTTCTCTTTCAATCTTTCTACTATCCTCCTCCTCCCCCTTTGCGCTTCCTTTCGCTCGTTCTTCGTGTATACATATATACATATATATATATATACTAGCTAGCGTACAGATTCACAAACATGTGCTTCTGTCCTTCGCGCGCCAATCTTTCTCGAACGTGGCAAGGAGCCTTTCCGCGCCCGCGCTAACCATCTCGGGGAGCCTCTTACTTACTCCACACATTCGAATGCACTTTTGGATCGTGAAGCGAACCCACTACCACCACGAAGGGGTTGTAACAATTGAATTTTGTACCTGAAACGATAACTGTGAGTATCGGAGGTGTCGCTGGCCTGTTAGACAGAGAACACTATGTGAAAAGTATCCTTAATTCACTTTTATACACGTCTTTTCTGGAAGTACAGTCGTACTTTGTATGTCCTTTCTTGTAGATCGTGCACACTATTTAGTTGCGTTGAATGTACAATAATTTTTAAATGGCCCCTAAAGTGTAAGTCTGCATTTCGAACAGTTTCTTTAATCATTCATAACTCAAGAATTAAGGAATACAGGACATACGTTCACATGACATTTTTTCCACGTACTAGTGTGTAGATTTACCCCCTGAAGTATTGACATGCATTTATGAATCACCCTGTAGAGTTCAACGGTTGCAACACGCGTCAGTTGCGAATCCTATCGACTGGCAACCATTTCGAGTCGTATCGGTTCAGGGTTATCGACTGCAAACCGTCCAGTAGCAGCTTTCAGCGATTGAAGAAAAGGTTGCGCGCTGGGACTGATGGTGTCCGCGAGGGTACAGCCACGTGGTAGGTCCCCGCCTAACGTGGGACCACAGAATCGCGGAGTCGTCGCTCGAGAGAATCCCGTGGCGCGTAAACGAGCGTCTAATTACGCTTGGTTATTACTAGACTGCGGATTTTATGCACTTACAATCTATAGAATTCCGTGAGATATAATAAAAAACAAAACTCCCATTGGACCCAACAAGTTTTCTATTTTATGTTGACCCCAATAAGACACTTAAGGAAAAACTAAATGCCTACATTTACTCCTGTCTATAGAAATGACTTTAGAAAATTTAATTTTGCATAAAAATCCGCAGTCAAGTTATTACACACCGTGCATGCTCGTCAGATGGCCTAAGACCACAGAACACACCATTGGTACCGTGTTTATAAAACACGTCTACCAGATGTCCAAGTATGGCCCCAAATCGTGACACACTAGACTCGCGTTAAAGTACCGGTGTGGACTTCTCGAGGCGTGTTTCTCCCGAAAACACTACTTTAACGTAAACCAATAGGCACGCAGGATTTCATAACAGTTCGATCGATCCACCAATTGGATCAGAACTTTAGTTACAGGTGGCGACCGATAGATGGTGCGCGCACATGTGTGAGTAATGCCTGGGGCGTACCTACCGCTACTTTAACGCGAGTCTACCGTATCTACGCGTCAGTACTAGAGAACAGAAAGCAAGGGTGGGGGGGGGGCACACGCATATAGCGTAAGTATATACAAGAGAGGAACACAGACGAAAGAGGCTTTCGTGTGTTCCCGAGAAGACCCGCGAGGAGGATATCTTGACGCGAGGAAGACCCCGCCTGACCGTCTCCGAGAGAAACCAGGGGGTCCAGGGGGGATACAGGCCCAGCAGAGAGAAGGATTCAAAAGGTGCTCAACAGGCCCCGAGCGTGGGCTACTCGTGATCATCATGACAAAAGCTCCGGGCAAACATCCATTCAATTTATTAGCTTATAGGCACGCCGGTCGTGCCTACTATACACACCACCTACGACACACCACTACCAACCGCCTCTATAATGCTCGTAACATTATGGCCAGTCCACGAGTGGACGGGTCCTCTCTTCTGGCGCGCGCGCGCGCGCGACCCTTGTCTCGCCTATCGTCCTCTCTTTTTCTTGGCCGTTTCCAGATATCTATACGCTCTTTTCCCGCGTTACTCTCTTTTCGCCCATAGAGTTACACTTTTTATGGTGTTAAATTCCACCACCAACCCCCCCTCCTATAGGCCACGGGGATATTTCAGCGGTCAAGAAAGAAACTGACCCTCTCTCGAGAGAGACCCTCTGCTCACGTCGCGCCTCGCCTATTCCTTCCTCGCGAAACGAAAAAAAAAAAAAAAAAACTCGAGCTACTGCAGCAGAGGGCAATACGATCGTTTTCACCGTGATTCGTACCCATTCGCTGCTGTCCCTTTCGTGCACACCTATTCGAGACACGGTCTGCTACTCTCCTCGTGGTTATACATTTTAAACGAAGGATTTAAGGTATTTTTCGAATCTGTGAAAACGGGAGGGTATCGTTAAAGGAGCCGAATCACGAACATAATTAAGTGATAAACCGAAAAGAAAATATGTGAAGGAGACGCACGCGCAATCCAGGAAGCCAAAAGGGTTTAACCATAGCGCGCGCGCGCGCGCGCTTGCGGAAAGATTGGTTTGTCATCGATCGGGTCGCGGCGACGACGGAATATTACGTTTCACGGTGCCTGGCAGCTTCGACGCCCACGATTAACGAGCGGTGCCCCGATGATAACCACGCCCACGTTGTCGCCCGGTCAACGCAGGCCTGTCCGTTTTACGAGGCCATATTCGATTCGCGCGAACGTCCGAAATTCTCGTCAACGACGTCGTGTGCCATGATGATACCGATTCCCCGAAGGGGATCGAAACGGCGGACACGATTTCAACCGGTGAAAAACGACACTGTAATCCGTGAGCATCGTCGACGTCGTTGGGATCGGTCGTTCGTTAAATCGTCCCCCCCCCCCCCCAATCCCTGTCTTTTATTCTTCCCAGAAACATATTACGCGCAAGGGGGGGCCGTACAACCGAATCTTATGTCGGGGCCCGAATGGAGTGACGTGGAGAAACCGCGAATGTGTGAATTTACCGATAAATAACGGCTTATGTACGCGTTGGTTCTGTAACTTCTTTGTACGCAGCAGTTCGCGTGAAACGGGGGAGACAAACGGATCGAAATGATGCAACGACGGATCTCGAGTTATCACAGAAAGACACGTAGACTCGAGGAACGAATTTCAAATGTCGAACATCACGATCTTGGATGTAGGAGATAGCACACGACGCCTTAATGACGTCCATTTTTACGACTATTTTACGTCTAACAAGGGATGGCACGGAAGTGTCCCCCTCCGATTTTGATGAAAGTTCGTATGTCTGTTAAGCGGTCAAAAATAAGGGATACGTATTTTTTTTTTTATCGGCTGAGACGCGATTTTAAGGGGTGAAACCACCCCTCGAAGTTTCGAAAAATGTATTAACACTCCTTGCTATACCGAATTACAGAACAATGGGTATACGCTATAAATGCATAAAATCCGTGGTCTACTAATAAAACACTACTGTACCTTGTAAAGCGTAAGCAATTTCCGACATACTCGGGTCTACTTCGAAGCATCCATAGCAAGATGGAAATCTTCAGACCCTCATAAATTTGTTTATTGCCCTAAGCTGAGCATCTGCTTAGCTTCTATTTATACTCAGTTTTGATTGATTCCACATAGGGACTCCCCCAGTGATCGGAACAACGCTGTTGCCCGTGTCGCATTCATCGAGGGATCACTGTATCTATATACTTACATACTAAATTACTTAATGCAATCATCATATACATATTGTCTATCATCCCAAATTGCTTGCGCATGAAAAATTACAATAATAGTCTAACCTAGGCAATGATCCCAATTCAACAACCTTCCCCTATATGTAATTGGAAGGGGGGAGGGGCTAGTGTAATTTGAAAGGTACGAATCACGTTCGGTCGAAACGCGCAAGGATATCGTTTCCCATGATCGATATTTGACCCAGATGTTTCGTTGACGGGAGGTGCACGAACGACCGATTATTCGGCCGTCTGTTCCACGAGTATGTTAACGTTTCTCGACGATTTTTCTTACCTGGCCGTGCTTGTCCATGTCGTTGTTGGTCAGCTTAACCTTCTCGAACGAGACCACCTGCTTTCGTAGCTGGTCGCCGGTGAACGGCGAGTCCGGATGCACGTAGAGCCGAGCGGGCGCCGGTGGATCCGCTTTGCCGGCGACCAGCCAACAGCTTCTGTGGTAGGCGTACCGGTACCGTTTATTGTCCACCGGCACAATGTCCATCAACACCGCGTACCTGCCCTCGGACTTCAATCCGCTGAATGACACACGACAGGTTGGGAACATCCGTCTGGAAAAAGCAATTCGAGCGCGGTCTCGTGTTAGATAAACGTTGACGAACAGATATATCGTAGGCACGTATATACTGGGTGAGACATTTAACGTTTGCGTCTCAAATATCTTTGTTGTTTTTAAAGGTACGTCAAATGTCTTACCCCTTGCCCTGTAACATCGAGTCAGACTCGTGTTGACGATTTCAAAATCGATTCAACAAAGAAGAATATTATTCGGTTTTCTTTGAATCGAAGTGAAATACCACGTTGCTCGTCCACCTGTGCGAAGGGGTTAATATTGAAGTTTTATAGGAATTCCTTTCGTTTCTGGGAAACTATCGATAACAATTTAATCGTGGAGTCCGCAGACGTCAAGAAAATCGTAGGGCAAGAGGTTAAGGACAAAGTTGAATGGTTCGATGGGACTCACGCGATAAGTCCGTGACCTTGGATGACCTTGAATAATTATAGTCACTGAGTTCTTAATGAAAGGAACTGTCATTGTACATGTTTAAAAAAGGGTGATTCTATTTAAAAAAAAAAAACGAAGGTAACTTTGATATCTCTAAAAAAAAATGACATAAAAATAAAAATTTGTTTGGTTTCGTGCGAGCCCCATTGAACCATTTCGTTTCTAAAACGTTTTCTGAAATATTTAAGTCTTAGAAACATCTTAAGGATGTTGAAAATGGTCGTAGGACATTGGGATATGTATACTAGATATTCGTTATCGAACATTAACGAATATCTAGTATATAACCAAAACGATAGGATCGAAGTATTTTTCGCGATTCGTGTGTTCGGACTGACGCGACTGGGGGAGAAATTTGACGTTTAACCTCTCGACAAATTCGACGACCGGTATATATGCACGTGCATAAAAATTCCAGTAACACCGCCAACAAAAACACCGTTTCAAAAGGGCAGACCAAAGACGACACTTATTTACTCGGAAATACCCCTCACTATTCGTTGGTGAGTATCACGGTGAGTCGAGTTTTCAGTCCAATGTAGAGGCGCGTCCAGCTATATAACATAGTCAGTTTGATTGAAAGGAGCGCCCGCAGGCCTTTCAAGCCTCGTTACGAACGAGTCACCCTTTGAACCTCGTTATATGCAGTCAACTTTTCAACACCTCGAGCGTCGGAGGCGCACGCGCCGGCAGATGCGCGCGACCTCGTTGGATGTCGATCCCCGCCCGTGCATACGTTTTTCCAACGGATGAATCAAGCAATCCTCTTATGATTTCTCCACTAGGAATGACAATAAACGGAACTGCTGTCTAAAATTCCGCCTGGACGACCATACACCACCGTTGAATGTGATTTTTCAATTCTCCTAAACGCGATCGACGTTAATTATTCGCCTCGAGAAAAGAATGGATCGAACGGCTGGGTGCCCGGGTCCGTGCAATCCTCGAAACAGGACCTGTCGACGAACCTGCGTGGAGAACGTCGCGTCGATACTGGCGGAACTTCCGCCGTGCATTCGCGCAAGACTCTGCAGGGAGGACTTGATCTGCATGTTCGGGGACGTTCCTCGCGAGCCAACACTGCCAGGCTGCCAAGACGTCGCGACGAACTCGGATAATCTTGTAAATACTTTTGTAAATTTTTTCTTGTTTATTTTTGTAATTTTTTATGCGGTCGCGTAGAACTTTTGTTGAATTTTGTTAAACTTTCTGTATAGTTGTAAACTCTGGGATATGTTCAGACTTCTCAGAGATCTCAGAGATCTCTAGACATCCATATACAGTCTCCTCTCGATTATTGTCCTTAACTCAGGTCCACATCGGGACAATAATCTTGTAGGGAGAAATGCTTCAGACCCTACTTCGTTTTTTTTATACGCGCTTGACAGGTTCCCAGACCCCCTCAGTGGTGGGGATAACGCCCGGACAATAATCGTGTAGGACAAGCCAGACGTTAGTCGAGAGGAATCTGTACTTGTGTATTGTACCAAAGGGTTCATAACCCACTTAGAAATAAATATTATTATTATCTTCCCAAGAAACAAAGGAAATCAGACAGAGAATCGGGGATGCGTACACCGAAGAAAGACACGTCTGCGGATTTAAAATTCGAAATAAAGGGGCAGCCACTTGAAGACTCGGAAGATTTCGAGAAAACGGAAGAATACCATCAGACGTGCGAAGATATAACGACGCAGACTGTACCGACGGGAATCGACATTTCTTCCCGAATTTCTGAAATTCGTTCAAGCGCCGGAAACATCATCGAAGTGTTCAGCAGCGTTCTGACGCGAATCAATGGTTTGGCGACCAGGGGCTGTTCGTGCCGTGCAATGAACGTTATACTGTACACGATCATTGTCGTTATTCTGGCGGGATTCGCGCTGCACACGTCCTTCTCTCAGATCTTCCTGTCGAGTCAGATATGCGGAATGATCGCGATCCTCAGCTGGAAAATGTCCGGGACCATTTCGTTGTAACCAGACTTTAAAAATTATTAACTTTACTCTGCCCATGATGACAACAAGATGATACTAGTATTCCTACCTTGATCAATCACGAAAGGTAAACCGCGACTCGTCGATGGTTGATACATTTTAACTTGATTAATAATTGATTAATTATTAATAAACTGAAAATTATTTTTACAGATTTTACATGGTATCAAGGAGGACACCATGTGTACATGACTTCTTTATGAGTGAAGGTGTTTAAGAGATTCGAAGGTGAACTTTGTTTTTTTAAATGGAATACCCTATCTTTTTTATGGGAGTTCGGA